GAAATGATTACATAATTAATTACGGGATAGATGTTATAAATAGCAATGGCAGATATTTTACTATCAATGGAGATTTATCCACTAAATTTGAACTTGGTATCACTAATAAAATGAATTTAGTACAACTAGAATGTAATGCTTTAGAAGATAATAATTTTGGAAATACTATTGAAGAAGCAAAAATTTCTAGTACTTTAACAGAAGAAGAAAAGTCACAGTTATATTCTTTACTACATAAAAAGAAATTAGCCTTTGCTACTACTGATGAACCCTTTGGACGTATAAAAGGACATGAAGTCAGAATTAATCTTAATACTTCTAGACCTTACCCTCCAGCATTAAGAAAAGCTGCATACCCAGCATCCCCAAGAAGCAGAGAAGCCTTACAACAACACGTAACTGACTTAGTAAAAATGAATGTACTTAGAAAAGTTGGTGCCAATGAAAATGTTGAAGTAACTACTCCTGTAATTATTGCGTGGCATAATGGTAAATCTAGAATGGTTGGAGATTTCAGAGCTCTCAACAATTACACAATTGCTGATAGATATCCAATGCCTAAAATAAGTGAAGCCATCACGCAACTACAAAATGCTAAATATATTACGTGTATGGATGTACTTAAAGGATTTCATCAAAATGTTATTCATGAAGATAGTAGACACTTAATGAGAATTATTCTACATATGGGTATTTATGAATATTTGAGAATGCCCTTTGGAATTAAAAATGCACCCTCTCACTTCCAAAGAATGATGGATACTGAATTTCATAAAGAATTACGTGAAGGATGGCTAATAATTTATATTGATGACATTATTATTTTTAGCACTGAATGGAATGACCACCTTGACAAATTAAAAATTGTTCTAGAAAGAGTTATAAAAATGAATATGAAGATCTCTATGAACAAATGTCAATTTGGTTTTCAAGAACTTAAAGCATTAGGCCACATAGTTTCAGGATTGAGCATAGCTATAGATAAAAATAAAGTAGCTGCAGTAATGTTAAAACCTATGCCCACTAATGTTAAAGAAATACAGTCATTCCTTGGTTTTGCTAGTTATTATAGACAACACATTAAAGATTTTGCCAAAGTAACAGGTTGTCTATATAAATTAAGTAGCCCAAACACTGCTTTTGAGATGACAGTAGATAGAGTAGCTGCATTTAATAAATTACGTGAATTACTTACTTCTGCTCCTATATTATTTATGCCTAATCCTAATAAGCCTTATAAATTATATGTAGATGCTAGTATGGAAGGATTAGGAGCTGCCTTACACCAAATTCAAGATCAAGAAATACCAAAAGAAGGAGTCATTTGTTATATTTCTAGAACATTGAAAGACAGTGAGAAAAAATATGGGGCCAGCCAACTTGAATGTTTATGTTTAGTCTGGGCCCTAGATAAATTATATTATTACCTTGATGGATGTGAATTTGAAGTCATTACTGATTGTACGGCCCTCAAAAGTTTATTAAGTATGAAAACTCCAAATAGACACATGCTCAGATGGCAAATAGCTATTCAAGAATGGAGAGGAAGTATGACTATCAAACATAGAGAAGGTAATATACATAAAAATGCTGATGGACTTAGTAGATGGTCTTTGGAAAATATACCAGACAACCCAGCATGGGACGGAGAAATTGCCGCAAAAATTATGTGTTTATTCCCAGAGGAAAATAATGAAAATAATCCTGCCTTTGATGATAGCAATGATGATATTAATATTTGTGGGTTACACGTGACTGAAATGCAAGAAGAATTTTGGGATGAAATTAGAATTAGTTATGACCAAAATAAAAATTGCTCCACAATAAAGAATATATTACAAAGTAATTTCAAAAATAATGATCTGATCAATTCCTTAGAAGAACCATGGCTTAGCTCATTCAAAGAAAATAGATTCTCTCTATTAGATGGATTAATTTACCACAGAATCAAACATACAAGTGTAGTAGTTATTTGTTTAAAAGAACACATTAATTTATTTTTGAAAGAATGTCACGACAATATATCCTCAGCTCATTTTTCCTTTGACAGAACAATTGAGAGAGTTAAACAAATTGCTTGGTGGCCTAATTTTAGAAATGATACCAAAGATTAATGTGAATCTTGTGACAGATGCCAAAAAGCAAATAAAGCTACAGGAAAAAGGTATGGATTATTGCAAGAAATTGAAGAACCCAAAGAAAGATGGTCTGTTATTAACATGGATTTTGTTACTGGCTTACCACCCGGAGGACCTAATAATTTCAATGCTATTTTGGTAGTAGTTGATAGATTTTCCAAAAGAGCAAGATTTCTACCGTGTCATAAAGAAGATACAGCAATGGATACTGCCTTATTATTTTGGAATTCTATTATTTATGATGTTGGATGTCCCAGATATATCATTACAGACAGAGACCCTAAATTTACGTCAGAATTTTGGAGAAATTTATATGATTTATGCGGGACACAACTGAAATTTTCTACAGCTTACCACCCCCAAACAGATGGACTAGCTGAAAGAATGATTCAAACTTTGGAAGACATGATCAGAAGATATTGTGCCTACGGAATGACATTTAAGGATAAAGACAACTATACTCATGATTGGTGTTCATTATTACCTGCACTTGAATATGCTTACAATTCTAGCAAACACAGTACAACAAATAAAACACCTTATGAATTGGAAAGAGGTTGGACTCCTTGGTTTCCCAAAGAAATTTTAATGTCAAAAGCAGTACATATACACCCAAGTGCCTCTGATTTTCATTTTATGATGACCAAAGCTGAAAAATATGCAGCAGAATGCGTGAAATTAGCTGTAGATTACAACAAAACTAGATGGGATAAAACTCACAAAGCTCACCAGTTTAAAGTTGGAGACCAAGTCTTGATATCTACATTTAATTTTACAAATCTGACTGGACCTAAAAAATTAAGAGATTCCTTTGTAGGACCTTTTACAATCAAACAATTACACGGTGCAAATGCTGTTGAAGTTATACTCACTGGAGAATTAGAAAGAAAACACCCTACATTTCCAGTCAGTCTAATCAAACCATACAAAACTAGTGATAATGATAAATTTCCTTTAAGAAAAGATAACATCAGAGTTGTAATACCTCCTTTAGAGAAAGAAGAAATTAAAATTAAGAAGATATTACAACATAGAAAAATCAGAAAAAACAATGTGGACATGAAACAGTATTTAGTAAGATACAGTGGTACCAAAGAAGATGAATGGCTTACAGTTGATAAAATACCTGATGCTGATAAAATTCTCAGACAATACAGAGCTGATAAAAGAAAATAACATTCATTTATTTCTTGGATCAGCCTTTTTTAGAGGGAGGAAGTGTCAGCCACAGAGTACATGTCACAGTACCTTTCATGTACCAAGTAACTGCAACACCTGTACTTATGTACATAAGTACTTATCCATAATGTTGATTACCTTTACCTCTTGTTATCTTATTATTATCATTAACTTATCTTATTTATCTTACTGTTATCTTATCTGTTAATTACTTATCTATTAAATACATACCTGTGTTCTACATAAGTAATTATCACTTACCTTTCACTCCCTTGTCCGTGAAATACCTGTACCACAAGTTATCCCTCTGCTACAGTATTTTCACGGTCAAATATTATTACAAATAAATATGTACATGTATTAAATAGTAAGTATTAAGTGTCAATAGAATTAATACATTCAATACATGCACAGATCACAATTATGACTACATTATTAGAGGATCTGTTAAGTACACATCAAGAGCAACTAGTACATTGATCAACTAGTACACAATTATGATGTCACTTACAGATCATGACAAATAATGATCAGTCACTCAATTGATGTGCTCATTCTCCTGGCCAAAGCTCCCTTGATTCTGAGCGCTCATTCTTTCCCCCCTTCAGTATTCTGGAACTTATAATCCGTGCCACTTCCACTGATTAATCCCCAGAATATTCAGACACCAGTTAAACCAGTTAACATTTATATTGATACAGTACCCGTAACCAACATAAATCTTGTCTACATTTATTGTTCTTAAGCTTCAGTACTCTTACTCAACTTATCCACAGTATTCATAGCCTTGCTGAATATTCCCATCAACAATACCTGTTAATCTTCAACTAATTTTGTTAAAGCTTAATAAGTATTGTTAGCCCATTCCCTTTGGGGAATAACCAAATTAATCCCAGGTGAGTCTTAGTACCCTGGATGCCTATTAATACCTTGTATTGATCCGGATGCGCTGTTGATAGCAAGCCTCTCAGTAAAGACCATACTGATAGAGTGAAACCTCCTCTTTACAGGACTGGTATTAATCACCCACTACCTAACACTCACCACGCTCAAAAAACTTCAGTCAACTCATAGTAACAACCTTTTTACTATTAAATACTCAGGTTAGTTACCCAGAGGCTGACAGGTGTCAGCGGTGGGTTACTCCGAGGTGATGAGATCCGCTCGATGAAAGTTTACTGGAATTGTCCAGTGACTCCAAGTCGTAGAAAGATCTAATCCGGTCCACGGTGTTCACGCCCAAGCCGTTGATAAGTTTTTGAGAAGTTCAGGCTGAGAGTTCCGGACAGTGATGTGGTGATGTGAAGGGAACAGGCAAGTTTGAAGTAGTGATTTGTTGATGTATCTTCAAACTCAAGAGGGATGATTTGAAATAAAAGTTTGTTATTATTTTTGTCTCTTCTGAAAGTCTGGGGAACAATAGACTTCGGTCAGTACAACTTTATATATCTGGCTTGGCAAGGCCAACTAGATACAAGCATATATGTAGAGTATGTTAATAATGAAATGAGTGAAATGAATAAGAAAATGAGTGAAATGAGTGTGAAATGTATAAAAGTGCAGGTGGTGTAGCAAAACATTAAGTTGACTAGTTAAGGGGTAACTGGGTTTTGCTTGCCAGCTGAAATTTGCTACTACTAAAAAAACAGAAAGAAAAATGATGAAGCTATCATTTGAGAAAAATTAATCAAAGTAAAAAAGTAACCAGAGATCTTTGAACCAATACCATCTGAGAGTGTCGGCGCCTTGTGAGATGTCTTCATGAAGTTCTTCTATTCTTGGGGGCTGTTGTCCTAAGTGACCTTTCCAAGCAAAGCCAACAAACTTATATGCTCTGGAGCTGATAGTTGCACCACGTTCAGGTGTCTTGAATTCATGCAATACAGCTTTTGAGGTGCCTTCTTTCCATTCCCAAAGTCCAAGTATTTGTCTTCTAATCAAGATTTCCGATGCATGGGGCAAGTTTTGGATGTCAGTTAATGTTGTAGTTTCCATGAATCTTTTCTCTTTGACTGATGTCGGTATGAGGTTTAGTACATCAGGGTCAAACTTGAGCAGAGAGAATCGTCTGCAGCCACGCTGGAGGTCGTCGTATTCAATAACTTCAGGGGTCTTGTTTGGTGGTGTTTTTGTGACCGTAGGCACCTCAGCTGCCTTCGGTATTACTTCTTCCAACCTGGATTGATCATCGGTCCTGATTTCCTTTGTGATGGGTAGTTTAATGACAGCTTGAGAGGTTTTGAAGTTGGCTTCTTTGTCTGCAGTAGACAAGTCGTTCAAGAGTTGAACTCGGCGAGGCCGTTTAGGATGCAAGCGACGGGGGGTCGCAGAGATTGTACTGGGATTATCTTTTGGGTTCCTAGGAGGTGTAAGATGCTGCGTCTTTGATTTTGGTTCCACCTCTGTTCGGGGATCTGCCTATGGTTGAAGCGAGATTGATGAGACAAGAGTCCTTTTGACTACTCAACAGAGCTGAAGGCCCCTTTGGTGGCGTGTTCGTTGCCTTCTTTGGCCGCGCTGAGGCTTTCGACTTTGTCGCTGGTGAAGCAGAGGCAATTGGATCCCGCGAACTGTCTCTGATTATGCGCTTCTTCTTGGGCTCACTAGCTGTACTTGAGACATCAACAACATTTATGAGATGTCGCATCACTTTGAACGAACGGCTGCGAAGTGTTGAGTGATTGCCTTTTCTAACTGCAGGCACAACCTTTCCAGCAATGCTGCTTCGACTACTCGCTAGATAATTGCGAACGAGGGAGGGGTAGTTGTTCCAATTCCGAGTTGACTCCAACGTGGTCCGTTCCAGTAACTTTGATTCAACGTCCTTCAGTTTGATTTGCAATTGATAGAGCTCTTTCCTGCGCAATTTGACTTATCGCTCGATAGACATGAAGTGTGATCAAAAAAAGGAACAATAGCGATCCGAGAGGTCTGGCCCAACAAGGAGAGACCAATGGTAGCAACACAAACAGTTAACTTTGATCCAGGAATCCACCAGGTGTGATAGAAGCTAAAACTAGCCGTTCCCGACGTGATGACCTCGATGGAACCAAGGCCGACGTGGAAGGGGTGTTGCCGAAGATCAAGATGAATCTGATGTGATTAAGGTGCACTATCGTGATATGTTGTACGTGTTTGAGGGTAGTTTTCAATGGTTTGTTCTGTGTTAGTCTTCTGAGTCTAGAGACAAGCCACAGACCCGATTCTTCTTAAAAAAACAGAAAAAAAAAAGATGAATCCTCCAAGTAGAGAGGGTTCCGTCCGCACAGGGCCTTGAGTTCCAGGTGTACGGGTATAAGGGGTGGTCGCCAATTGTCAGTGGTGGGTTACTGCGAGGTGATGAGATCCGCTCGATGAAAGTTTACTGGAATTGTCCAGTGGCTCCAAGTCGTAGAAAGATCTAATCCGGTCCACGGTGTAAGACTCAAAAAGTGGTTGTAAGACCCTTTTTGCTGAATGGAGAAGGGGATGGTGGAGGTGCAAGCTCTGCCCTTCTATACTATCAGATAACAAGAACCACCAAGCTTAGCTTGGCAAGTTTTAATCAAGTGATAGGGTAAGGTTCAGGATTGAGTTGTGTGATGAAGAGTTGTTGATGTGGGTTGGTTGGCGCTTTAAAGTGTTTGTGTGAAGGTGGTCAAATATTGCTTGAGTGTTACTTGAATGTGACTGATGAATAATACACTGAGGAGACAACAACTGGGAGTAGAGCCTCCTTATATAGACAATAATGAGGGAATTTGGCTCCAGGGCAGCCAGTAATGAGTGATTTTGGCTGGCCTGGGCTATTACATGAGGTATTTTAGCTACATACATAAGTTGAATGAGTCAATGTGATTGGTCAGACATGTACAAGAGTTGAAGTGGTGATCCAAACAGCTGAATGAGTGATTCTGATTGGTCAGGTTCTGATGTGTTTACAAGTGAGTGTGGTTGTGTATGCTGCGGCTGTCATCCAAGGAAAATACACCAATTTAGGCTGCAGGTATGATGTAATCTGTAAAAGTGAAATGTAAAGAGTGTAGATGTATGTAAATGAGTGTATATGTAAATGAGTGTGTACTGTACTGAGGGTGTCTGTGTAGCTTGAGGGTTGTAATTGGTTTTGGTGATATGTAATGATGGTTGAAATACTTGTGATGTGTTGTCCATTGTGGGATAATTGTTGATCCAAGTGTGTTCCAGTGACGCCTCCGTGGTGACCAAGGGTGAATTTATCCGTAGAGTCCAGTTCTTGAGCCGTATGGTGTGATTTCTGAGAGAGATTGGGTGATAATATGAAGAAAATATATGTATAAGAAAAGAAAGAAAAAAACTTTTAATTCTTCACATTTTTGACTACCACAGCCTCCCCCAACTTATTGTCTGTCCCCAGACAATTTATCAGGAAAAAATGGGAAAAAATAGAGAAAGAGTTAATTTTTAAACCTGAAATGAAGTAAAAAGTGTAGTGGGTATTTGGGAAAAATATGGTGAAAAATGAGTGTGGCTGAAAAAAAAGAATGTGATAGCCTCCCCCAACTTTGCAGTGAAGCCAAGCTGGGGTGGCCATATTTGTGATTTTTAAACTTAAACTTAATTTTTACACCTGATTTAACAGGGTTTACCCTGTAAATGTTAGTCTTAGGGTCCCTGTGTACCCCCCTTCTGCCCAATAGTTCAGAGGTGGGGGTGTATTTTTATTATTTTCTTCATTCTATTTTTTATTTTTCTACATACAATTTTTTTTATTGTTGCTGCACACTGTTGGAATTCTGGATGACTGCTCCATCAACGTGGAGGAGCTGTGGCTGCTGAACTAGCTGCAAAAGCCCCTTGGGAGGGGCCCAAGTGGGTTTCTGAACGTTTGGGGGTCAAGTCTTGGTTCGGCGTCGCGCGAGGGGGAGAGAAAGCTGCGGCTGCAGCGGAGAGCGCGGGGTTGCGGGTGCCTTGTCCGTTTCGTGTACGCCGTTCCGGTCCGAGTTGACTTGCTACGGCCAACCAATATCCATATCAACTACTACCACCGCCACATCCCTTGGCCGTGTCAGCCACAGAGCACATTTCACAGTACGTGAAATGTACCTAGTAACTGCAATAATAATAATTAATTGAATACTGGAAAATAGTATACATTGTTGTTAGAATAATAAATAAATAAATATGTATTTACATTTAATCTTAATTCATAATTTATATTTAATAATTCTATAATTAACTGTGAAATCCCCTTGAGTATTGTACATATAATATCACTAGGATTTCACAGAAATAACATTAGCATAAAGTATTAAAACAATGTTTATTCTTATACATTATGTACATATTTTATAAGCCATAAATAATTACATATGTATAAAGAATCAGCTAGTAGAAGCGTGAAATGGATGAGTAATAAGCTATATACATTTATCTGAAGCTTACCCATCCTTGATCACATCATCAGGGCATCAGATTACATCATAACACTCTTGGATGGCGTCATCAGGACCCTTTTGTGCTCTAATTCAAAGCTTGCATAATTCAAAGTAGCCTACACGGGAAAGGAGCCCAAATTCTACATGCAAGACTGAATTATGCATGAAGGACATGCATTTCTCATGATCACAAGCTTGCATAAGCAGAGTTACACGTATGCAAACAACTCTACAATTGCACCGCCCCTGCACAGTAAATGTAGCCCTTTCAATTACGTGAGAAATAGGCCACAAAACTCAATTATGCATGTATGATCTCATGTCCTAGGACCTTCCACCCATGCATAGCACTGCACAGCTGAAGCTCCCATCCTTACACGAAACTGTAGAGCTGCTAAGAAGCTCCCTAGTGCCCTGAGGGCCTCTCCTCTTCCCCTGAGCCCCCTGTAGAATATTTAAGGAGCTCAGATTCCTACCTTTTCCCCCCAGGAAATTCTAGTAGCATCAAACCAACACTTGTACCGTGTTTATTAGTGATTCAAACCACCAATAACATTACAACCCAGCTACCTTAGACCTAAATAGATTTACTTTGCTCAGATTCAAGGCATTTCTACTTATCTCTATTGCATAAAGAATTATCCCCCTGGTTAAACAATTCTGGTCCTTCAGTGTACATACACTTATTCATCTGGATTGTTGTTAAAAGACTTGATCCCAAGTGAGTAGAAGAATTCCTCACATTGGAAGCCTATTAATCCACGTAACAGGATTGATCTGGATGCCCAATTGAATAATTGGATGAGTCAGCAGTAGAAGAACCATTCCTCACTGACTCCTCCCTGTTTCTTTTACAGGTTGAGGGATTTTAACCACGAATAAACCTTCTCACTTACCATTCTTGTTAACACTCAGAGCACAACCCTTACAGGTTAGTAGCATAGAGGCTGACAGGCCGACTCCGACTTCTTCTGGCGTCTTCGATCGGATTTCCATGCGTCGATGACAGGTTCTGACAGGTGAGTGGTTTTTTTTTTGCCTTCTATTTACATTCTACAATTGGAACGCCCTGACTCCTGCCTTCTTATTGGTCAGGACTTGTTAGATCGTGTCGTCAGTCTTCTAGCAGTCGAATGGGGCAAGCTGATTGGCCAGGATCGGCCCACAGCAGGGCGTAGCGCGTCGCGAGGCCGTCTTATGAGGATCAGGTGAGCTATTTTTTTCTTCTCTCTCCTCGGTTTTTGCTGTGTACTGTTGAGAGCATAAAAGAGGGCCGCAAAGGCCGTTATCGATCCTTCCCACTCGCTGATTTCCCTATCTTCCGATTTGAATTCGGTCCGTTGTACGTGAACCGCAGTCGAACAAAGTCGTCACACTTTTGCCGGGATCCGATTCAAAAAAAGAAACTGCCCAACGTTCGATTAACTGTCCTTGCATCAGCTTAAGTGATCCAGCCTCGTGCGGTATTCAAGCGGGTCCAGGCTTTCCAAATCACATATAAGGTACGTCCGACGTCATTTGTATCACTCTTCACCATCCTAGTCAAAACACCAACTCGTAGCCACCTGTTGAAATGGAATCGCTTCTTCTATCGTTATCCTCTTCAACGTTCGATTGGTCGTGAAGCCTCCAAGAAGATCAAATTGAGATTTGTCCGAATGAAAAGCAACATTTGGCCAAGGTGTTTGATGAGTGTTTCCTGCTGTCTGTGGAGAGGCTATTTAAGTAATTCCGCCCTTTCAAGCACTTTTTTATATGTAAAAAAACTGAAAATTTTGAATAGTGAACAATAGAAATGCAGCACCCCTCCCCCAACTATGCAAGTTGTCCTCAACCTTCAACTGAGTGATTCCAGAAAGTTGAGTGGGTGATTGAAGAAGGTGAGAAAGGCCCAAAAAATCCAAGAGTAAGGAAGGAAGGATGGTATGGTAAGGGTGTGTAAGTTTTGAATGTGTGAGGAAAATAAGAGATTTATGGTTGATAATGGCCAAAAAGTGGTGTGTAAATAAAGTTCAAGGTAGTGTGGTGATTAAAAGGAGTGTCTTGGGTGAGAATTTGTAAGGATTTAAGTTCCTCAAAGATGGAGGTGTAATAGTGGTGGAAAAGGGTAAGGGAGGAGAAGAGAAGAAATAGGAGGGTCATATTTATAAGTGTGCACATTTTAAATTAGTGAGATGAAAGGGGTGTTGAGGGGGGATATAAGGGATAAAGAGTGTTTTTATAAAAGAATGTGAG